TTGGTCTCTCCCAACTCACAGTGTGTCTCAGGATTTCTTGGAAAAATTAAAACACACATTGGCGTATGATGAGGAAGGAGAAGGTGATCGTTAGATTCTTTTTTTTTTTCTGGTGGCAAGCAAGAAGTTTGTTCAACTGACAGCCCGCAGTCTACACCCAGAGCTGTAACTGTATATTTTAATCCTGTGAAATGGGAATTTTAAACTCAAGCAAATCCCAATTAATTGTTCACTTCCTGCCCTCCCACATCACTGCGTGGTTTCAGACATGAGGTGAACTCCGACAGCATAATACATTCATTTTTGAAGTTTAATTCAGACATTGATGTTAGCACTACCTCAAACGTTATAGATTTATAGATTTAACCACTTCAAGTCTCACCACTGGGATTTTTATTTTTTTGCTATATAAATGAAAAAGTCCCAAATTTTTGAAAAAAAGTGTTTTTCTTTTTGCAAATAAATAATATTTCATCATAAATCTTGGCCAAAATTTATTCGGTTATCTTTTTAGCAAAAAAAAAAATAACCCAAATTAGTTTATAACTGTGATGGAGGGTAGGCAAGACAGAACACACAAAGCGGATGGCAAACACACAAAGCTTTATTGAGACAAAATGACAGTCACTCAATGGAGGGATTGCAGGGAGGGTGACCTCACCAGTAGGAGAACAGTAAGGAGAGGGCCAAATCACTTGTAGTCCAGCCCCAAGGGCAAGTTAAGGTCTCTGCAGACAGTTTTGTAATCCAACAGTGAGGCAGAGGAATAGTTCAAGAACAGTTCAGGCAAAACAGGGGAAGCATGTACTCAAGGATCCAACAGGGTGCCCGGTCTTCCAGGGGACAAGATAGTATGACACAGGTACCTGCCGGTGTCCGGAGTATGCGTGTGGTCTCTCTCTTGGCTGGGGTCTCAGGCAGGGCTGGCGTGCAGTCTCCCCTCTGGCTGGGGTCTCAGGCAGGGCTAGCGTGCGGTCTCCCCCTTGGCTGGGGTCTCAGGCAGGGCTGGCATGCGGTCTCCCCTCTGGTTGGGGTCTCAGGCAGAGTTTAGCCACAAGGGTCCCGCAGCAGCTGGGCTCCCTCGATGGCTGCGCTGCAGAAAAGGATGATCGGGAAGGGCCCAGCACCAGTCTCTTAAACCAGGGTAGGATGCTTCCCGGTCGCCCTAGCAACCAGGGGCGGGCCGTGGGCGGCGTGCCTAGTTGCTGGGCAATGAGGCTCGGCTTCAAAGAGCCGAGGCAGGATGAGAGACAGCAGGGGGCCGGTCATCCTGAAAGGGGGGAAGTGGCTAACAAAGTTTTGGCTAGAATACACAAATGACAGAGAGGAAATTGTTTGAAGTTTGGGTTGGAATGCATTATTGCAGGGGAGGAAATTCATTAAATGAATTTGGGAACATATAGCAGGGTGACAGTGGAGGAAATACATTGATTGAATTTGGGAACATTTGACAGGATGACAGGGGGGAAATGAGTTGATTGAAGTTGGGAACATTTGGCACAAGAACGTAAGGAATTAATTAAGGATGTACTTAATTTGGGCACAAGGAATTAAGTATGGGATTAAGGAAGAAATCAATATTTGGGGCTGGCAGAGCACCTATATTGTGACAATAACCAAAAATTATAATTTTCTAAAAAAAATTTTTGACATTTTTATATCATTAAGGTTTTTTTTATACATACTGTCACCCTAGCAGTACAATGTCACCATGGTGACACTGTACTACTTCTGGGGGGTGAATAAGATTTTTTTTTTTTTTTTACACTGATTGCTTTTACACCCATAAGGCTGTAAAAGCAATCATTTCTCCTTCTCTCTAGCTGCATTCCTGCAGCCATTGAGAAATTCTGTGTGAGCTGTGATTGGTCACAGCTTGTCACATGGTACAAAGTTGTTGTGAATAGCCTTGTACCATGTGACCTCTGTGATCATTCACAGATTTCACACGTAGTAAGCAATGATGTCAGAAGTGACATCTTGCTTCCTACTCTGCATGTGATCACTGATTGGCCAATCAGTGATCACATGATCGGGATGTCGCACAGAGATCCCGTACGACGATCAGTGTTCCACTGTATCCAGAGGACACAGCGGGCAGCGGATCACGGTGCTGCGCGCTCCCAGGGAGCGCGCACAGTCCAAAAATGGCGGGCACCGTTTATGAATGGCAACCTGCCCCTGGACTGCCACCGTCTGGCCATTTATATACAGCGGCCAGATGGCAAGTGGTTAAGAAAAGTATAGATGTTTTCAAGCTTTCTTGTCTGAAAACTTCACTCCCTCAGTCAACATGAACTATTTTTAATCCGTATGCTGCTAGCATTGGTTAGTAGATAGGAAAGTGTATCATAGATGGGAGCGTTAAAATAAGTGAGAGCAGACATGAAGCCGTGGCCTGCTGGTTGCCAGCCACTGATCTGGAGTAGGCACATGGTGTGGGGAGCGCAGCATGCCTCCCCTCGAGTGACAGCGCTGCACAGGACAGCGTCCGCTTCTGCCTCCCATCCCCTTCCCCTGAGCCTGCCTCTAATGACAATAATCCTAAGGCTGGGTTCACACCTAGCATTTTGTGAATGTGGGATTTTATGTGTATTTTATTGTGTTCATTTTCTTTGGACCCACAAAGGGCAGCCCATTCATTTTAAAAGACTATGAGAGAAAAATGCTCCAACGTAGCTCATGCAGCTTTTTCGGCATTTAGCTTCACATGCTTTGATACCTTTGTTGAGTTTTCACACATTCACGAAATGCCCAAGTGTAAATGGGACCTAAGTCTGGAATGATCAAATTTAGTTTCAAAGTCCTAGTCTCAATAAGATGTGGAGGCACTGATGTGGGGCTGAGAGCTGCGGCTGCGACAGTAAATGCATCCATTCCTTTTCTCCCTCCTCTCACCCCTGTCATTTCACAAAACAGGGAGCAGGAGTATGTGATGTAAAGGGGTCAGGAATAAGTAACATACAGGAGTGCAGGGGTCAGATGTATGTAACACACAGAGTGCAGGGGTCGGGAGTATGTAATGTACAGGAGTGAAGGGGTCAAGTGTGTTTAATGTTCAGAATGCAGATGTGAGGTGTAATTAACATACATAGTGCAGGAGTCAGGTGTATGTAAAGTACATAGTGCAGGGGGCAGGTGTATGTAATGTAAAGGGGTCAGGAGTAAGTAACATACAGGAGTGCAGGGGTCAGATGTATGTAACACACAGAGTGCAGGGGTCAGGAGTATGTAAAGTACAGGAGTGAAGGGGTCAAGTGTGTTTAATGTTCAGAGTGAAGATATGGGGTGTAATTAACATACATAGTTCAGGGGGCAGGTGTATGTAAAGTACATAGTGCAGGGGTCAGGTATATGTAACACACAGATTGCAGGAGTCAGGGGTATGTAATATATTGGAGTGTAGTGGTCAGAAATGTTTAAGGTACAAAGTACAGGGTCAGGTGTATGTAACATACATAGTCCTAATGTGTATGTAATGTACATGCAGGGGTCAGTTTTATGTATTGTACAGAGTTCAGGAGTCAGGAGCAAAACATTTACGGAGTGCAGGGGTCAGGTGTATGTAGCGTACCAGACTGCAGGAGTGAGATGTATGTAGCACACAGAGTGCAGGGGCCAGGTGTATGTGATGTACAGAGTGCAGGGTACAGATATAAGGTGCAGGGGTCAAGTGTATGTAATGTACAGAGTGAAAGGGTCAGGTGAATGCAATATACATAGTGTAGAGGTCAGGTATATGTAATTTAAATCATGCAGTGGTAAGGTGTATGTAACATAAAGGAGTGCAGAGGTCAGATGTATTTAACAGGTGGAGTGCAAGATTTAAGAGTATGTAACGTGCAGAGTGCAAGGGGTCAGGTGTATGTAATGTACAGAGTGCAGGTGTCAGGTGTATGTAATGTAAATAGTGCAGGGGTCAGGTTTATGTAATTCACAGAGTGCATGTGATGTAGTGTCAGGTGTATGCAACATACCAAGTGCAGAGGTTAAGAGTATGTAATGTACATAGTCCAGGGGTTAGGTGTATTTAACACGCAAAGTGCAGGGATCAGTAGTATGTAATGTACAGGAGTGCAAAGGTCAAATGTATGTAACACATGGAGTGCAGGGGTCATGAGTATTTAATGTACATAGTGTAGAGGTCAGGTGTATGTAATATACAGAATGCAAGGGTTCTGGAGTATGTAACACATGGAGCACAGGGACTATGATCACGTAATGTAAAGTGCAGGGGCCAGGAGTATTTATTGTACTGAATGCGGGGGTCAGGTGTAACATGATAGTGCAGGGGTCAAATCTATGTAATCAACAGAGCGTACATAAGGTCAGGTGTACGTAACATAGAGTGCAGGGGACAGATAAGTGTAATGTACCAAGTGCAGGGGTCATGAATATGTTACATGCATAGTGTATGATTTAGGTGTATGCAATGTACAGAGTACAGGTATTAGGAGTATGTTGCATACAGAATGTAGGTGTCAGGAGCATGTAACATACATAGTGCAGGGGTCAGAAGAATAAACAGCCCAGTACTCAAAGCCCCTTATGATTTATTTCACCATCGCAGTGATTACGCAATTCAAAATGTCCTAGTGTGAATGGGGCCTTATTCATAGCACAGAAGTATCCCCTATTTATACGCACTGTATACACATATACAAACAAAGACACTGTATATAAATATATACATACACTATACACAGTACACTCACACTGTGCACACATACATGCACTCACACATTCACGGTGACTGGCTGTGCCCTGTTGTGAAGGTGAAGAGCTTTCTCTAAATTAACCACTTGCCCTCCAGAGGATTTACCCCCCTTCCTGACCAGGCCATTTTTTGCGATATGGCGCTGCGTTACTTTAACTGACAATTGCGTAGTCATGCATCGCTGTACATAAATTACATTTATGTCCTTTTTTTCCCACAAACAGAGCTTTCTTTCGGTGGTATTTGATCCCCTCAGCGGTTGTAATGGCAGCAGTCAGCACTTATAGCGGGACTGTGGAGGGCATTCTGAAACTGGGGGGGAACTGACTAACTGCCACTGACATCCCAATGACACTAATACAGTGATCAGTGCTAATAAAAAGTACTGACACTGTACTAATGACTTTGGGCAGGAGGGGGTTAACATCTGGGGCGATCAAAGGGTTAACAGTGTGCTGTATGATTTGCTGTGTCTGTGTTACTAGGGAGACATGCTGCTATGTATTTCTCTGTTGTGCAGAGAAATACACAGCAGCATGCCCTTGCTGGCAGGAGAGAGACCTGTGTTGTTTACACACAGGTCTCTCCCCTGTTAGTTCTACACGGAGATCGCCAGGTGCCAGCGGAGAATATCCGGCCGTGACCCGGTGATTGACAGCACTGGCGGTCATTGACAGCAATGACGTGCCGCCCTACCCGGAAACTGAAATCACGTCTATATACGTGATTTAGCACAGCCTTGCCGCCCTGTGGCAGTAGTTCTACTATAGGGTGGTGGGAAAGTGGTTAAGGTAAAAAACTTTACATGCAGCTCCCCCTCTGCCTCCTCTATATACTCACCTGAGCCTCATCTCGGTCCAGCCCTGTTCATGTCTCCAGCAGCTCCTCTCCCCTCTCCCAGCTCTCACAGGCTTTGTGACAGCAGTGGGAGCCATTTGCTCCTGCTGCTGTCAGTCAAACCCATGAGACGAGAGCAAGATCGAGTCAGGCTGTGTGGCTGAATAGATGCAAACAGCCTGGCTTGGGAGTGACTGACCATGGAATCAATTTCCTATGGTGGGTACTCAACGTGGAAAAGAGCCAGGAATGCCAGAGGCAGACCTGAGAAGAGGAGGACTTGGGCTGCTCCGTGCAAACCCATTGGGAAGTATAACATGTTTGTTATTTTGATTTAAAAAAACAGGCAGCTTTAGTTTCACTTTAAGCCTGCCCTCTTCAAGCTCTGTATAAATGAAACGTGCCTGCTTGGGAGTAACATGCCACACAGCCACAGGCAGCAAAGTAATTCCCTGGGTATCAGGGCTTCTGCTATGGGATGAAGTGAGTATACATCCAAATAGGAGTTGGTGTGAAGGTTTCATTTTGGGGTGAGGTTAGTGCTAGGCTCACTTTAGGTTAGGTTAAAGTGTTACAGCCAGGGGTGGATTATGTGCTAAGGTCCTGTTTTAGAGGACGTGTTTGGATTTGGAGCATAGCTGGTAAGGAATTGTTTAGGTGACGGGTAAATGTCAGGATTATAGAGGGGTTAAGAAACATTTTAGATCTTAAGTGGTAAAGGTTTGTTGTAGGGTAGGGGTGTCAAACTGGTGGCCCTCCAGCTGTTGCGAAACTACAAGTCCCATCATGCCTCTACCTTTAGGAGTCATACTTGTAACTGTCAATCTTGCAATGCCTCATGGGACTTGTAGTTTGGCAACAGCTGGACGGCCGCCAGTTTGACACCTGTGTTGTAGGGAATAGTTAAGTGACCAGCTAAGGGAGAATGATCATATGGCCAAGATTTGGACAATTAATCCATTTTTACATTTTCTTAAAGTGGTAGTAAAGTCTTTTTTCATGTTTTACCTATAGTTAGGCCTAAGGCTTACCTGTAGGTACTGTACCTATCTCTTAAAAGTGCACTGTTTTGGAGATATTTACTTTAGCAGCGTCGGTGATGTCACCAGTGCATGTGCACTGCGCTCTCAATGGATGGCGTGCCATCCATTGAGAGAGCTGTGCCACAGCCGAGACTCCCACACACATGCCAATCAAATGGTTGCAGCCCAGGAACCCAGAAGGAAGACCGGGTGAAGATGGAAGCCCCGGGGAGCTGTGACAGCACTCCACTGGTGGACTTCCTTTTCAGGTAAGTCTTTTTGTGATGCATACTAGCACATTATGCTCTTAAATTGGAACTCATAAAAGCTTCATAAAAAATAATGTTCTGTAGCAAAGAACATACATCCCACATTAATTATTATGATACCAAAATTAGTGTGTGCTGTAAATTGCCTCCAGCATTGTTCTTGTTTCTTCTTGCTGGAGGCTGCCATTTAGTTGAAGCCCAGAGCCCTGAACAGCAGTTAATGCAGAACTAAACCCTCCTATCATTTTTAGCCAAGGAAGCTTTTGCTTGATCTGCAACTGCCATGGTGCTGCACATATTATCAGTTATAACACCAGTCATTTGATAGTTTGGTGCAGAACAAAAGCAAATGTGACAGTTAGCATTCCTGGCATGCAGTGAAAGCAACTGTTTTTTGAAACTGGTAAATCAGTGGGTTTCGTTCCGCTTTAATCTTTAGAATGTTAGCAGATCGGCCTCTACAAATAGATCATAATGCCTAAAAATGGAGAGCAACTGAGCATGTGCAGAGCAGGGTGACATTAATGGATTTTAAACAATATAGACACTTATTTTTAATGTTTTACATAGCTATACTTGCAGAAGGAGCCAGCCTGAAGTGATCTAGCAAGACTGAATTTTCTGACTAAAGTTCCACTTTAACTTGTAGGGAGAAGAATTTTTTAGATTCATTTTTTGTGATTTACTAAGCAGTAAATCCTCTTTCCTTTGCTATCTCTAGCAACCTGCCAACTTTTAATGCAAACAAACAGTACATTCTGTAACCACTTAGAGACCAACTGCCCCCAATCCTGTTTCCTAACCCCACCTCCTGCGACCACAGCAGAATGCGGATCCCAGTAATCGGGACCCGGTGGTCATATGATCGCTATGCGATCACATGATCACAATGTTAGCAAAACTGTTATGAATCTGAGGAGTAGCAGAATGTGTTTCGGGGTGTTATTCAACATATACCCATTCCATGTGTGAGCAATATATCATTTAAGTGAAAACTTTGTGTAAACAAAAAAAAAATGTCATTTTTATAAAAATTTGTGGCAAAAAATAAAACTTGCCATGGACTTAATATGTCTCTAAGCAAATCCCTAATTCCTTGGGGTATCTACTTTCCAAAAATGAGTAATTTGGTGGGGGTTTGTACTGTCCTGGTATTTTAGCACCTCAAGAAATGTGATGGCAGTCAGAAAGTAAAAGCTGCGTAAATTCTAAAATATATACCATAGTTTGTAAACCCTATAACTTTCACACAAACCAATTAATATACACTTATTGGAGGTTTTTGTTTACTAAAGACATGTAGCAGAATACATTTTGGCCTAAATATATGACTAATTTTTATTGGACATTTTTTAACAGTAGAAAAAGTAGAAAATATAGGGTTTTTTTTCTAAATTTTCAGCCTTTTTTTTGTTTATCACAAAAATTTAAAAACCCAGTAGTGATCAAATAACACCAAAAGAAATCTCTGTTAGTGTGGGTACAGCATTGCATGACCACGCAATTACCAGTTGAAATAGCAAACAATGGCCTGGCCATGAAGGGGGGTAAATCTTCCGAAGCTAAAGTAGATAATCTGGCTACAGCCAGTCCCGATATGTTTCATATCCATGGAATCAGAAGAAGCTGAAGTATAATATACTGAAATCTTATAATGATATCACAACATTGTTCCTCTGAACATGTTCTGTTACTTTACATTGACCCTGACAGAACCTTGAAATACAGTTTAAATGAACATAAAAACAATGGGTAGAGGGGAGAAACCTGTTCATCCTTGCACAGCCTAAATAAGTGTCATAAACTCCCAGCAATAACTGCCAAAAATTGACAGCAGTCATGTGTGGTCCCTCAGATTTTTCATTCATCTTCTTAGAAGACAAAGATCACAAATTGCTGTCAGTGAGATTTTTTCAACATTTAGAAAATCTTTCTGTGTGATAACGAGCACCTCCAACTGCATGAGATACGGAATCACCCTCCAGAGCAGTAGATCATCTCAATCATCACAAGAGATGCTGTTTTCGCTGCCAAAGGGGCGTGGGTCTACAGGCTCCTCTGTTGGAAATCTGTACCTACCTGTTTGGGTTTTTAAATAACGTAATATTTCATAAGTGTGCCAATTCTTAAAGTGGTTGTAAACCCTTACACCTACCCAGTGAAGTGACTGGCCTCAGGTGATACACAGATGAAACAAATCCTCCAACATACGCTGTACCTGTCTATCTGTGGTTTTCTCTTCTCTACATCCGTTCAAAGTGCAAAATTTATAAAGCTTGTGTGAGAGTTCAGAAAACAGTGAGCGGAGAGCTGAAGTTACAGAGCTCCGTGAGGAGAGCTTTTAGAGCTGATTGAAAGGAAGATACACACACCCCTTCCGCAGCTCACAGGAACAGAGCTGATGCTGTCAATCTGCTGGAGGTCCCTCCCCTGTCACCATTTTTCTCTTGGTGTCAGGAGAACTTTTCAGAAGTGATTCATGCTGATAGCAGAGGAACAGGCAGCAGACAGAAATGACACTTAGTGCTCTTAACTGAGACATGTACACATTATAGAGGGACATGTTTGTTCACATTACATGTTTGAAGTTTAAAATCATTTTAACCACTTCAATACTGGGCACTTTTACCCCTTTCATACCCAGGCCAATTTTAAGCTTTCAGCACTGTCACACTTTTAATGACAATTGCGCAGTCATGCAATACTGTACCCAGGGGCGTATTTAACACAAGGCAAACAAGGCATTTTCCTAGGGCAGCATTTTTCAGGGGGGGGCAGCAGCATCTTTCAAGGGGAGCAGCAGCATTTTTTAGGGGGGGTAGCCCTCCAAAAAAAGGAATAGAAGAAGGGACACACGCAGCATGGGGACCAGGTGGGATCTGAAAGAGGCTGCCGCCTGCTTGGTGTATGCAGAGCCTGACTCTTGTTCCCAGAGATGTCCAAAGCTGTGAAGGTGAGTGTCTTATCTCTCGCAGGGGTGGGATTGCCAGTGTATAGGGGGCGGTGGTAGGGGAAGGCTCTCTCAGGTGGGAGGGGGGCTGGGGTGTTGTTGGTCAATGTCAGGGTCTCTCCGTGGGGGGCTAGTTTTGTGTTGTGCAGCACGAAATTTAAATACACCACTGACTGTACCATATTAAATGTTTACCATTTGTTTCACACAAATAGAGCTTTCTTTTGGTGGTATTTAATCACCACTAGGTTTTTATTTTTTGATAAATGAAAAAAGGCTGAACATTTTGAAAAAATAAAACCTATGATTTTCTGTTATAAAATATTGCAAACACAGCAATACAGTGTTGCCATGGTATCACTGTACTACTCTGGGGAAGCAATCAGGATTTTTTTTTACACACTATGATTGCTTAAACCGGTAAATTTATATGGAATAGGCAGCCATTTTTGAATGAATGATGAAATGGATTAATTGAGGATTTACTATTGTTGTTAGCTGTGATTTGCCACAACTAATCACAGGGTACAGATGGACTGTGATTGGTTCTGTCTGTGCCATGTGATCACTGTG